GCGTAGTCAGTGCTGAGGGCCATGGTGTTTACCCAGTGGCCATGGCCTTGCAGAGTCCGGCACAGGACACCCTAGGGCAGCAGAAGAGTCAGATACTTACACATACACAGGACTCTCCATCCTGGGGACGTGCACCCCCAGAAAGACAGTGGCATGGGACTTGGCACTCTGGACTACATCACTCAGCGTGACCTTAATCCAATCAAACTTCTGGGCTCAAGTCTCTCCTGGTTTATAAAATGAGGGCACTGGTCCAGATCGGTGTCTCCGAAAGCGCGTTTCATGGAAGGGGCATTACAGATGTCAGGATAAAAGGTTCCAGCCAGGTAAGTGTGGGGTCGGGCAGGTCTGGTAAGGCCAAACAGGCAGCCTACACCCAGAAGCCCCAGTACCTCGCTGATGAACACTGGAACCTCCACTGCAGGACCCCTTGTTCCCAAAGCACCTCCTGACTGGGGACCCCAGAACACACTCGGGAGATACAGGCCACAGCTCCTTGCAGGCCATCTGATGACCCGGGCTTCCCCAGATAGGCTTCTCCCGGCTCTTACGTCATGAGCCCGCCAAACTTTGATAGTGCGGTCCTGGGAGGCACTGTAGAGAAGCCCGTCGCCGCCCCACAGGAGACAGGTGACGGACTGCGTGTGCCCGGTGAGGATGCGCTCGCAGCGGCCCGCTGTTGTGTCCCAGACCCGCACGCTGCCATCCTTGGAGCTGCTGGCCACATAGCGGCACTCGGGGTTCCTGGAGGGGAAGGGAGATGTGAGCTTATTTCTGACCCGTCAACTCCCTTCTTCCCACAGCACCTCCCGTTCACAGCTGCAGGGCCAGGGACAATCCAGTTCCTGACCCCTGCGGTGGCCACAATGCTCGGAGGTTCTCAGCCCTGCTCCCAAGCAGCAATGCCGGGAGGGGAGGCTGTTTCCTATGCCAGCCTCGCCTGCATGTAAATTCCCCTGCATTGGGGAGGGAAGGGGGCAGCCCTGAATTCCTGGCTCCCCATCTGCCCCATTCTGTCAGTGTCACTCACACGTGGAGGGGCTCCCAGCTCAGGCCTGTGATCCACTTGCTGTGGCCTGTGAGGGCTCTGCCCACCTGCTTCCCCATGCTTGGGTCCCAGAGCAGAATCTGAAGGACAGAAGTTGACCAGACAATGCTCCCCAACCTGTCCCCTGGTCCACTGGCCCCTCCCATCCGAGACGCCACAACTCAATTCTGTCCCATCACTTAGGTAGAGCATCCCAGAGTCCCTGACCACCATCTACCTGGCCATTCTTGCAGCCTGACGCCAGCTTCTTGCCATCTGGGGACCAGGAGATGCTAAGTACCCAGTGTCTGTGCCCTAAAAAGCGGGAGAAAAAAGAGGGACTCTTTCTATCTTTATCCCCAGTGCCTAGTGGTATGTGGCATAGTGCAGGACCTCCTAGTAAGTTACTGAGTAAATGAGTGCACCAGCAAAAAGAGAGACAAAGCTTTCTTGGCAAAGGAGGACTCCCCGTCAAGGGCCAGAGCTGTGCAGCTTGCTGCTCAGGTAAAAGTGCTGCTTTCCAACTCTTTCTTTTTTAAGATTTTATTTATCTTTGCATAAAAGAGCTGGCGTGTAAGCCAGAGGTGCAGGGGGTGAGAGGAGTCACCAGAGACAGTGGGGAGCAGAGCAGGTGGGTCCACTGAAATACACTGCTGAGGGGAGCAGCGGGCAGGAAAGGTGAGGTATGCTGCGCCATGTGGGTCAGCTCCCTGGCTGGGGAGCGAACTTGTGCTGTTACAGTGATAGTACTGAGACCTAAGCCCAGGCAAACAGGGAGGCTCCACTTTCTCACACTTTATGCAACCCAAGGTTTAAGGTTTTTTTGCAGAAGTCATTGTAATTCTCATAATAGCTGTACCGTGTGGAGTGAAGAAATTACCGCCCCATTTTCTAGAGGAGAAAACTGAAGCTTAGAAAGGGAGCACACCCTCCACACATGGCCACCAGGTAGTGTGCTCACGATTCTCCAGGAGCAACCCCTGGATCAGCACCTGGGGAGATCCAGACCTAATGAAAGCAGAACTCCAGGGGGTGGAACTTAATTGCTGTTTTCACAAACCCCACATAAGTCTAACACATGCTCAAGGAGTGAAACACATTGTGAGGGGGTTGGGGGATGGAATATGAGAGCCAAGCTCACCTTACTGCCGGCCAGCAGCCCTTTCCCATAGTTGCCCACTGACTCTAAGGTTCACCCTTTTCTTATCTGTATGCGGTTGTTTGAACTCGGGTGCAGTCTCTACCCAGAAACTGCACATTAGAGGATCGGAATCTGCCCGGGGCATCCTCAGGAACTACAGTGCTATGCAAATCATCCGCCCGCAGTGCAGAAGACCCTTTAAATGGCTAACTACATACGGACCCTGGCACGTGAAATGTGGTGTTTCGGTGCTGAGATCCCAGAAGCGCACTGTGGTGTCTCCAGAACCACTGGCCAGGTACCTGGGGAAGAAAAGAGGCCACCTGAGCCCTGCACTGGGGCACTGGGGGACCCCACCCCAAGACATGCATCATGCGTTTCTGATGCTATTGGATCTTCAAGGAAAAGTATCTGGACTGGACTTTTTTTTCTCCCCAGGAAAGGAAGAATGTAATACTAATGTCATTTCGGAGAAGACCCCGAAGGCCATTTCTCAACTCTTTTTTCCCCTAAAAGGAATGGCCACAACGATAAACAGATTTGAAACCTCTCAATCTTCATGATTGAGAAGAAAATAAACCTGGTTTCACAGAGGAAGAATGAACTCAGCAAAGTTAAGAGTCTAGCCCACGTCAATAGCTAGGAAGAGGTCAGCGTGTGGGTCAGCGCGCCTGAGAGCCAGTCCAGGAAGGGCTCGTCCAAGCAGGTATCCTCAGCGTCTGGGGACCATGCCCCACTGGGGAAGTCCTATCCTTGCCATCTGGGCCCAGAGCTTGGGTCTAAAATAGGCAGTCCAGACCTTGCTGCTGGGAACTGGGGGGTACCCTCCCCACCCTGCCACTCTCCTCTGCAGTTCTGCAACCCTCCTTACTTTCCTGTGGGGCTGAAGGCCACAGAAATGACTGCTTCACTGTGACCCTCCAAGGAGCTGGTGCAGCGGGTCACAGCACGGACCCTGAAGATAGCTTGTGGCTGGTAGATGATGTCGAGAACCTTCTCTGTCTCCACTGCCTGTGACGCCAGCGTCCTCTCCAGCGAGGAGACAATCTCAGCATCGTGGACATAGAAAGCCAGTGGCAGGGGATCCTCCTGCAGGACAGTGACAGAGGGCAGGTCCCCCATCAAAGGGCGGAAGGAACGGCTTCTGCAGGGGGGCTGTGCTGTGGGGAGGCGGCACCTGCTTCCTTTCAGTCATCCTGTATGGGACACCTCCATTATCCCCCTTTTGGGGAATACCTTTTCCACCCATAGCAGCAACTGCAGGCTGCTTACGCTGCATTTTAAAATTCTTTATCTGCCTTCCACAACATCCCAGGCGGGAGGCATTCATGTTCTTACTTCATGAGGAAAGAGCAGCAACTAAGTAACAAGCCCAATGTTCTATTTACTGCTAACAGCTAAATTCACATTCTTTAGTGTTCCTCCAACAGAAAATCAAAGTCCTGGATAACGGTTAATATAGGCAAAGTTTTCTAAACCACCACACCATGTTGTACACAGTATAAGAAGCATCCAAAAAGCCGGGTGAAAATGCAGTTTCTGATTCACACCCTCCCCTCAGTGGTAGAGCAGAGTCTGGGGTGTGGTCCACTGTGGCTGCATTTTTAAGAAACACCATCACCCCATCCCTCCCACCCCTCCAATCGAGGGTGGCACTTTTAAAACATTGGCTTGTAAATGAAGAGCACAGGTTTAGAGTTTGACACAATTTCAAATTACCACTTACATCGTGCAAATAATTTCATGCCTCCGGACCACGCTGCAAAATGGGTTTATTAATGGGGGGCTGTGGCGAGGTATTGGACCACGCGCCCAAAGCGTTCAAACGCGATCCCACTCCCGAACGGGTTGGCCCTGATGGTTGGCGCTAAAAAGCCCGAGGTAGGTGGCACCGCCACCAACTCGCCCAAGGGTCTGTCACCCACTGTCGGTGAGTTTTGGGGGGGGGGGCACGAACCCTTCCGTTTCCTGACTGCCTGCGGGCCGGACCCAACAGCGCCGCCAGGCCCAGCGCTTACCTGGGCCAGCAGCGCGTTGCACACGAGCTGCAGCTTGTCCGGAGTGATGTCCACGGGCACATCAAAAGGGGAGCCCAGCAGCTGCCCGCCCTCATCCTGGAACTGCACCAGCAGCCGCTGTACGTCGCGCGCCGCCGCCTCTTCCTGCGCGGGGAAGCGAAGCGGGCATCAGCCTCCCCGCCCGTGGGGAGGAGCCCCGCTTCCGCCGCCCCTGCCCGGTGGGCCCTGGGCCCGAGAGCCCCGCCGCGGCGCCCCCGCCCCCACTCACGCACACCCACCGCCGCCGCCGCGGCCATCCTGCGTCCCCACGTGGAGGAGGAAGACTCCGCCGACAGAGCGCCGCCCCCGTGTCCCTGCGGTGCCGCAGCCCGCGGCATCGCCCTCTGGTGTTGCGGAGGGGAAGTGTTGTCGGGCCGAGCGCTGGGGGTGGGGGGGTCGCCGCCTGCTTCAGTCCATCCCAGTGCCTTGCAAGATACCAGCAGCTTTTGTCTCTTCAGAATAGGGGTTCTTGCCCCATTGGATTGATGAGGAATTCAGGACTCCGAGGCGGTAACTGATTTTCCAAGCTCTCCCTGTCCGAGGTGGGAGCCAGTGGAAGACCGAAAGAGCTAGATTCCAGGCTGCTGTGTTCCTGCGGGGGAGTCGCTTCCCAAGGGAGCCTACTGGGATGAGGGCAGAATGTACAGCCCCAAATCAATTCATAGTTAATGAGCACAAAAACAAGACATTCTCACGGTTTTCAACACTTTAATAATAACAATAACAATAACAATAATAATAGCCTTCCCTGGTGGCCTAGGGATTAAGATGCATGGCTAACACTGAAGCACCTGGGTTCCATCCCGGTCTTAACCCATGTGGCACAGCAGACAGCTCCTGTCTCCGTCGCTGCTCCCCACAGCACTGGATTTCAGCCCACCTGCTCTGCTCCCCACTCTGTTTCTGGTGAACCCCCCCCCCCCTTGCCCTTTTGGCTTCCCCCCCGTTCTTTTTTTGCAAAAAAATAAGTTAAAAAAAATAAATAATGATGATCTGGAGAGCACTAGACTGAGTCAGCAAGTCCATTGGTCTTCTGGAAAAGGACACTTTCAACAACTGAAGTAGCAGGGAGTTTTGGTGCCATTGGACAGGGGCAGGGACATTCCTTCAGGCTTCCTTCTCTCCTCCCTCCAAGGGCTTCTGGAAGTCTCCAGTTGGTCTGGGATGTGGGCAGCTGCTCGGTGTGTCCAAGTCTGTCAGCCCCTCAGCTGTCACTCTGCTCCCAAAATAGCAGTGGTTGGGGGGAGGGAGAGAAGGTTGTTTATCTGAGATGGAGGTGGAGAAAGGACATTATAGCTGAGTCTGGGGGGTGGGCTCTGGGGGGCTCCCATCCCTTCTCCACCTTTCTCTCATCCTTTGGAGTATGAGTGCCCCAGCGCCTCAGGTCTGCCCCTAAGAGGGGGCTGGGTAGAGGTCAGTGATCATGCTGTCTGGGGGGCTGGGGGTGGGGTTTGGGGGAGGGACCTCAGTATCAATGACAGAATCCAGAGGCACCTGCCCCTGTGGCCAAATATGGTCTGAGCCACAGGCAGAGGTGATAAAGTCTCCTGAGTAGGCCTGGGACAGAGGACTGAGACTGGCTGGCTGAGGGGTTCAAGCCGAATTCTTCAGAGAAGCCAACCACAGGACAGGCCGTTAACCAGAGAGCAGTCTCCTCTTGGGAAAGTGAGCCAGGCGGGTGCTCCTTAAGGCGGCAGGACAGAGACTGAGGGGCTTCAAAGCCTGCAATGAGAGCTCAAGCCTTGGTGTGGTGGGAGGGACAGCCTGGGAGGCCCAGGGGCTCTGAGCGCCTCTCAACTCACACTGTGCTTCAAGCAAATGCTGTACTGACCTTTAGATGGGGGGGTGTTAGGGGTGGGTCCATTCTAGGTAGAAGGCTTACCTTCCATCCTGGTGGGGGACAGAGAAGAGAATTTGGAGCCCCAGACCTCAAACCAGGCGCACAGCGCTGGGCCTGGAGCAAGAGGCCAGCCAGCCAGAGCTGCCCTTGTCCCCACAGATGGCAGAGAAGGAAGCCGTGCAGCTGAAGGAGGAAGGAAACCGGCATTTCCAGCTCCAGGACTACAAGGCAGCAACAAAGAGCTACAGCCAGGCTCTGAAGCTAACCAAGGACAAGGCCCTGCTGGCTACGCTCTTTCGGAACCGGGCAGCCTGTGGCCTGAAAACGGTCTGACGCTGGCGG